CTCTAGCAATTAGTAAAAACTTTCCCCCCCCTCCCCCCCTCCCCCTTCCCACCAATAACACTTTCAATATATATCCTTATTATACACAACCTTGTTACACACAACGTGATTGCTTGTGCCTGCCGTTTATTTCTTGCGGTGATTCGATAGTATCTGAAGAAGCTCCTGCATCCTTGTCTTGTTAGAGGGGTGCCCAGTATTGAGTACTATTGTTGCCTCTTCCACCCATTGCTGCCATCTCGAAACCTCTTCGATTGGAATGGCTTACGTGGCCATTGAAAGCTACTCAAGTTACCGTTTCCGAACAAGCAAAGGTTTTCCGCATGGGGCAAACAGAGGAGTGCAGCATTTTCTGTTCCCTTCATATCGAGCGATTATGGACCCAATTATTCTCTGTAAGACGCTTGTTAACCTTTTCTCCGTATCCATTCACATTGCACTTCTCTTCACCATCGGATGCACCCCATCGTTGAGATACGGCGGTTTCGACGAGGTCTTTTCGATGAGTTTGCTTTAAAAAGCTGTGAACAGTAGATTGTTGTTATGTTGCTTGAAAAGACAAGAAAGATGGATGAGCTGCCGACCAGGAGCAGTTCTTACGTGTTAATTAAAGGCACAATTTACAATAAAAATGGTTTCTGGGTTTCCCCTACAGTATAAATTCGAGGCTCCTCCTTATACCACACCTGCTGTTATAAGGTCGAAAAGCGTCGTTTACAGGGTGCAATAAGGGACCGGAAATTCTATCGTGTGAATGCCACACCCCTCGTAGGCGAGTTTCACTGGCTTTGTAGAGGCTGCAATAACTCCCATGTAGAAGTTCAAACAAGTTGTCATAACTCATGGCGACAATGAAAGGCAGTTTCGGACAAATTTGACTTGATCTGCTCATATCTTTGAGCAATGGTAGCTACTTGAATCTCGTCCAAAAACCCCTTAAATTCCATCACCATCACGGTGATCTCGTACACCTCCACTCCCACTACTTTTAAAAATCCTAGAAGCAATGGGATTTTCTTGCTTTCTTCGCCGCCGATGTGCTCCTCTACATCAACACTTCCACTTTTCTACCTGAAAAGGGTACCTCAAAATTATTGTGAACTATGCCTCTAAGCAATTGATCCATACATGGCAGTGTGTTTTCAGAGCATCAACTTGATGCTCTTTTCAGCTTTGTTATTCCATCATTCGAAAAGGATTATGAGGGAAGAAAGGGCCAACGGAAGTCTAAAAAAGGAATTTCATATATGTTTAAAAACAACGATGTTCCAGTTGTTCTTCTCGCAAAACATGGGCGACGTGGTGGCTGTAATTCTTCGAATACTCACAAAATACGCTCCAGCGCTGATTCTCAGCAATCACACCGTGGTAGTTCAAGCTGATAGGGACATCATTGTAAGTTTAAGCAAAAGAATGTATAGATTGAACCAAGATAGATATTTTTGGTCTTCTTTGAAATGTCTTAATATTCTCCTCCCACTACTCTGTTGCTCAGAGGTAAGCTGCGAAATCAGCGGTGGAGCGAACTTGTGAAAGGATGCTCCAATTGCTCTTGTCTTTTATCGAGAAGTCGCGTTTTAAGCAGCAGAACTATTGGAAAAAAAACCCGAATGATGCCTGGCTTCCCTTCGTTTCACGATAAAGCCAAAATAGTCGGTATACCATGTAATCATATCAGTAGGAAATAGTAATGGCAACCTGCAATTTTCGAGTACCCTTCTCTGATTCACTTCCATGAAATGCTCACATCACTGACCAACAGTTTTCTAAACAGTCACCAGAGCAAGCTAACCACGGCTTTACAAAATTATTCATTGTTATTTCTAAACCTCGACCATAACCGAAAATTGAATACGACCTACCAGGGTGTCCTACACTCCATGCACGACCGTGCTTTCCTCTCTTGGCTGTTCTAAAACTGGTCGACAGAAATTAACAACTTTATTTTGGAGCCTGGCCAGCGGTGGAAAATGGATGCACGCAGACGACTCATAGGCAGCAACATACATAGCATAGTACCCAGAACATTTTTGAAGTGCTTTGATCTTTAGCCCTTAGCTACCCTTACCAATGCCGTCGAATGGTACACGGGCTACGTCGTCATCCTTTCGGCACTCACATTTGGTTTCGACAGAGCAGTGATGGTGACTTCGTTACGTTCTTATTCGTGGGTGAGTCGGATTCGATCAAGTTTCGTGCTATGCGGTTTCAGAAGTGACAGGGCCGCTGAAGATACTATATACATGGAGTAGAGAGTTCTTAACAGTCCAAGGGTATTGTATATAGGACTTTCCGGTAGGCAAGAGAAATCGCGATACAAGTACACAATTACAGCTTTGAATTTGTATAACGCCTTTAGTTTGACTTTCTGAGCTGTTCAATGACAAAAGTCGACTTATGATCATCCTTCATCGCATCGTCCGAAGTTCCACCGGAGCGCAATGGCGGCGACCTGAACTTTTTTGTTCGTGATAGTTGATTGCCCTAGTCACCTACCGCATTTTCTGTAGTCTGTCATAGTTCCCTCCCCCTCGGGAAGCCCACAGAGCGCTACTCGTTTCCTTGCCATGCCTAGATGTAGCAGTATAGCTGGAGAAAGAGCTGGCTGACTTACCGATTTCATTAGTGATGATCCATTTTATTGCAGTTCTGCAATGGTGTATTCAAAGCATGTGTGGTTGTTCTCACATGGGTAGTACCAGTGGTTTGGGTGCTACCAATGTTCGATTCCTGTTGCCGATCTCATTATTACAAAGAAAGCCTGGAGCTAGTTGAAATGGAACATGAGTTATGTTGGTTTCGTGGGTTACTCAATAATATTTTCGTTTCTTGCCTGTAAAGGAATCATTACAAAATTGTGCAAAAATGGCGATCAATAGAGTGATTTCAGGCGGGATCAACGTACGACGCCATCGACATGATATTTGAGACATTGTTCTATGTGCCGGTTTTATGTATGCTCAATGGCTTCTCTATCATCGTATTGTACAATCGGTGGAAAACATTGCACAAGAAACGTCTAGCAGTAATACTTGGGGTTCCTCCAAGTAAGCCATCTGTCCTTGTCGAATAGGAGGGATATCGTTCTTTTTCAAAAGATACAGTAAAAGAAATGGAGGGCATTGGAAATTTATGGGATTTTTTGCCTCCTTAAAGGTACAGTTCACGATAATTTTGAATAATTCAAGTTATGACGAAAAATGGAAGATAAGATGGAAAATAGTGCGATGAAGGCGGAACGGAAGGAACTGCGTGAATCGGTGTTCCTAAAGTGAAAATGGCTTCGAAAAATCGTTAAAAAGGGGGCTGGACGAGAATGAGACCAGAGGAATGAAGAAGTGTGGGGCGTTTGGACGAGATATACACTGTGGATCAATGCGCACGTGTGGGTCCTGGTGAAAATAACCGACTACGGTAAGCAAAAATTCATTCACCTATGAGTATGAGTAGACAAAAAACCCTAGTACCAGCAAAAATAGCTCACTTGTTTCAGCCTTTTGGGGTAGGAAATGAAAAAACGCATCGCGGCAACAAAAAGAATAAGAGGAAAAAAGAATGGGAGAAAAACATTGCCTCATCACTCGGCGATCAACTGATTGTGTGTGGGTCCTAGAACGAATAATTGCAATCATTATCGCCTCGACGTTCATCTGACGTGACATCGATGGAGGGGGGAAGGCCGCGCGAGCCAGGAACAGGGCTTCCACTATGCCCTAACCGTCGAGTTTTTAAGCGCGAGAAGTCTTTTCACCCTTTGGGATCCCTCAGTATTCCTAGGGGAAGAACTCAGTAACCATTTTTATCGTGAACCGTGCCATTAATTGTCTTCCTTTATGTCTTCTCCCTCTCAAAATTCTTTGAATTTCTTTGTGCTATTTATAAGCAACTATTAAACTATCGGAGTGAATTGACATTCGTGTCTTATAGCTTGAAATTATTATATATTCAGCAGACCTACAGTTACCCACAATCACTAGCTTGAGCGTGCTTTGCGTGACCAACGATGAGACTTGCCACTTTCCACATCTAAAAGATCAGAGAACGGATAATCGTGAAGGTAGAGTGGCGGTAGAAGTACCAATTCATCATTATCTTACAATGAATATTTTTAATTTGTGTTTTATGTATTATACCTTTTGTCTTCGACCATTGACGACGACTCTTTCAGCGGATTTTCCCGTACATCAAGTGCTCAGAAGTGCACCTTACAAACCTTGTGGAGTCACCCTGTAACGTCCCGTTCGTCCCTGCCGCACGTCGATGTAGCCAACTGAATCGTCCTCGCTCGAAGGACACGAAACGTAACATTCCGTTCTTTTAGGGCTTCAAGAAAGAAGTCCGACGGCGGCCATCCTGGTGATCGTTTGATGTCGAGAAGATCCANTAAGCGACCGCCGTGGTCCTACGGTCATCACAATATCGCATAACCTAGCTGGCCCATCTGGTCTTTGATTCATTGGCCAAACCATGGGCTCCCTCGTCTTAGTTACTTGACGGAGCTCGAGATTCCTGATTCTCTGAGCATCATCCTTTCCACAGCCAGTTGTATGTTGCGAATTACATGCATAGCGCTATCGTAAAGATGTTTGACAAGCCGATTCTATTCTTCATCACGGTTGTCATTAAAGGAATCATTCTAGAGGCTCGCAAGGGAAACTAAGTGGTTACAGTTGATCGCTGCCTCGAGTCCTTGTTTCTTGAAATTCGTAGCTCTCTTTACGCATCAAAAACCAGATTCGAGCGCACAGAAGATAATGGGTCAATTCCCCATAAAACCTCGAAACAACAGCAACAGGCAGAAACTTTGATTGAAGCGATGTAATCTATTCCATTAGGAAATTGTCTCATGTCTTCGCAAAAGAGGGGGCTTTAAGAAGTCCGAATTACCATTGAAGGTGCGGGTCGACATTATAAACTCGAACAGCCTTTCACCTTGCTCATTCCACTGCATTCCGTCAGTCCAGATTTATAGCTCTTCAACCACTCTTCGAGGGACGATCTTGGGATTGAAATGACAGAGGACGACATCGAAGGAATTGTGGTCTCCATTAGAGATTTTTAATGTCTTTCGAGTTCATATAAAACGCTTGCCACTGATCTTTAGCTTGATGTTGGTGCGTAGACAATGAAGATTGAGAGCTGGGGTTGAGCGAAATCTTATTCGCAGACGTCCGTTTCAGATTGTCAGGCTTTCGTAAGTCGATGGTCATGGCGTAGTACGTATTACCTCTGGTATTGCGTGTTTCAAGGAACACATCTTCTCTTGTCTGGAAGAAGGCGTGCAGTTGACGATACCCTTTCGTCTCGGTCGCTCCAATGACGTCCTTCTTGATCGTCTTGGTTTGCATCATCAGACCTTAGATACATGCATACAATGCAAGCGTTCGTGCATTCAAAGTACGGATCATCATCTTAGTCCTTCTCCTGTTATGGTCCCGAGATTTTGGCACCCTCTCCCTAGGGGTCATACCCCATGTACTCTGAGCTCCCTCATGTTTAGGATATTGAGGTCAATTAATGAAAATGTTTTTGGCATAGGGTACCCACGAGTACCTTGCCAGGCTCTGACGTGGGGTTGATTAGACTCCGGCTAGCAAGCGAGGCTACCTCAAAGTAGACAAAGAGCTTACTCATTGAATGCAGCCCCGAATCGCCACCCACACAGCTCTCCGCCACTCATTACAAGCTTTTGGCTGAGTAGGTGTGTAGCATGCCCACCGCACAGGTTTTTCACACTGTGTGCATGGGTACATTGGCAAGGGCTCAAAAGATGTGAATCAATCAAGAACGGCAGAAAAAGAGACATAATCAATTGGATCCACCTTTTGGGCAAGTATCCGTGCCATTGAGTGAGTTTTGGCAACCTACCTTTTTATCTAGACCCGGTCAAACCGTAAGACACATGTACTTGTACTTAATTCCAGTGAGAGCCGCTAGGGGTAACGGAACTTCTCCCCGATTGCGGCATTCTTCCTTACGGCATGCGGCAAATGTCACTGCAACTACCGCACTCTCCCCTCCTCCGCGCCAATCGATAGGCCGCGGGACTTTTCGTTAATTGCCCTTCTTTTTTATTAGATTGATCGTTTTTTCTATTTCTTTTTTATTTTTATGTTTATTAGACTTGATTAGTTAGAATGACTCGTCCTATGTAAGCGACGATCAAGACTGCATTGAAATTGAAGAGAGCGATCAGCCAACTCACATAGTTAAAGGACTACCTACCTCACAAATTGCGCGCTCCAACCTGCCATCGCAATCCTGCGATACGCGGCGGGTGCGGCGTGCGCGACGCCGTCTTCAGGGAGAAGTTCCCGGACCCGAGCCGCTAGTAGTAAACGCTTACAGGAGCATGACTACAGCATTCCAAACGTCATCTCACGATCGCGGTCCAGGTTCAGGTAGAGTGGTATAAATGTAGTGCACATGCAGATATGTCTGTGTGTTTCTGCGGATACGATCTGCTTTACTCTCATCCATGAGCTTGCTCGACACCGGTTCTACGATGATTCTCTAGATGATGCCGTAAACACTAGCACAATACCGTTCCTATAGTCCGAATATCGTCAGCTCGCTGATGAGAAATCCGTTCAGTATGTCGAACTACTACGATAACTTTCAGGAGGAAACCCATTATCCCTAGTGTTTACTGTTTGTTTATGTACAATTTGACTGAAAATTCATATTTTTTTTGCTGTTTTGTTCAGACGTTCAGAAACTGTAGACTGAAGGGGAGATAGATGAAGGATAGGTTCTATGGTACTGTCTGATAGAAAGTGATAACAACTGATAAACAAAAAGGAGCTATGGGCTATGGGCCCCTTCTTCTTCTTCTATGCCCTTCACATTGACAAAGGAAACCTGGCACCTCGATGATTGATGTGAGTAGTGACGAATAGCAGACAGATGGTGACAGGAAGTGATAACAGCTGACAAGGGCTGATAACAGGTCTTCAAGTGCAGGAGCTCTTGATCCTTCCTCGTTCAATAGTGCAGCCTTTGTTCTCGAAATACTGCTGAGTTGATTGCGACGGCATCGCAGATGATTAATGGTATAAAGTGATAGCAAATGATAGGGACTGATAGGGACATGCTTTCCGCCCTCGTAATCATAATGAGGCTCCGACGCTCTACCCTATGCCACATGAGAGGAGAGGGATTGGCGTAAGCCAGGCGGGGGAAATGACAAAAAATATTTCACTAAGTAGGAAGGCTTATTTTAGGAATGTTGTTCATATAAAAGTAGATCCTTTGGACTATTTCTTCCCCGAAAGGAGTTGTTTTGTGGAAAGTCCAGTAAGTAGGACCGAAAATTGTGTATGGTGGGGACTCAGTTCATATGCACAGTCCCATCCTTCCTCCAATCCTGATTTGGGACCCTTACGCTGCATGCTTTCAGAACAGATGTTGGATCGACTAGAAATGGAACTCTCATTTGCTATGATAGCTATAATCGATGGACAAATCGACTTTTTCTGCGTCCTATTCTACATGCTCTATTGGGCCGGTTACTCAAGTAGGTTTCCTATAGAACATTTGAAAAGACCTCACTTTGATGCTCAATCATACCTAACAGTAACAGATCTTCAATAAGTATTAATGCTTCTAGTTTGAGTAGCTACCCTTAAAGGCACAGTTCACGATGAAATGGTGTCTGAGATATCTTCCTAGGATGAGCCTGTGGCGCTCCCATTTGTAATGGCTCAAAGATTGTATTCACTGTATGCCACACCTAAAGGCGGACGAGTTTTAGCGCACTGTAGGAACACTGCAGATTCACTAGAGCCATCCAGTTGAGAAATTCAATCAACTTGTGGTGGCTAACAGATATGAAGGGCACTTCGGGCATTTTTGGTCTGGTGTAAGCACTTCTTCACGCAATTGTAACGTCTGAAATCTCGTCCAAATATCCGTTCCCTGCCATTTCCGTCATGGTAATCCTGCACACCTCTACTTTCACTATTTTAGGATGCCTTTTTTCAGATAGTTGATAAATTTTCTCGCTTCCATCGTCAGCTGTGCACTATTCTCCATCAACAAATCAGCTTTTCAGCTTGAATACGGTGCCTCCAAATTATCGTGAATTGTGCCTATAATTATATGCAGCAGGATATCACACTACGTAATCCTCACAATGCTTTTCTGCGATAGTTTGATTCTTCGTGTATATTTACACAGCAGTATAGCTCTTGATCCGTACACGGCAGTTGACTCTGATACAAGTAATTTTAGCTGAGCGATAGCCTAGGAACATAGAAAATTCCGACTCAACAGTTCTGACAGTGAAAGTAATCACTGTGATTTCGAAACATCGTCTCGTTTGCTCAATTCGTTCGAAAATTATATGCATCCTGTACAAGTCTGAACCCAGCATGACTAATTCTAAAAGAGTTACAAATACTCGGATATGAATATAAAACCGATATGATCAATGGTGGGCGAAGGTTGTGTACTGGGAAGTGGCGCATAACTCACAGCACGGTAACGAGTTTGAATCCCGGATCGATATTCGCCCAGGCCAACGAGGCCTTCTATCCTTCCGTGGACAGTTAATTGGCACCAGACTCGTCCGGGAGGATAAAAGCACTGATTGTACATTGGCTGGCCACCGCAAGTCATTGTATAGACCACATACGCAATCAATGCGTCACTACGATTCTGAATGGAAGTCGATTGTGTGAGCGCATCTCTTATACGGCGTTATTTGACGCTTGAAAACAGGACTTTTATGATGAGTGTTACCTGGTTGAAATGCGGTGAAATAATACCGTCAACGTTCTTCTCCCGCAATTTTCTGCTCATTCGAATTCGCATTTGCTGCTACTGAAGCCATGGGAGTAATGAATCCTGTGGCGAACAGACACAGGATTCATTACTCCCATGGCTTCAGTAGCAGCAAATGCGATTTCGAATGAGCAGAAAATTGCGAGAGAAGAACGTTGACGGTATTATTTCACTGCATTTCAACCAGGTAACACTCATCATAAAAGGGGTGTGGTGCGATTCACGCGTCAATATAATGAGGTCATCGAACAAAACACGCTAATACATCATGCCTACCACCATAACGGAAAAAATAAGAACCTATAAGTAGAATAAGTAAAGAAATGACCAACTATGTTTACAGAAGGATTGCGTTTACTAGGATCAAAAAGTTTGAAGGTATTCTCATTTTGAACGTTTGACAAGCAAATTGTTGACCTATGAGGTGATTGCTCGATCTCGAAGGGGTTTTTTTGCCTTAGTAAAAAGATTTGCTCTATTTATGGTGAAGCCGTGGACTATTGCAAATTTATTTGGTCCATCCCAACAGAAATGTATTGAAACGATGCTGCGTGCGCGAAGAGCTCTAATGGGGTCACGCGTGAATCGCGCGCCCCCCGTGCACTCCTATACAAGCTCACTATACACGCTCTACACTTACACACATATATAGACAGATGAACACAACACACATACACACATACATACATACATTCTTACATACATAAACATCAACACATACATCAACACACACAAGTCAACATACACTCATCAACATACATAAACATCAATACACATACAGCGACACATACACATAAACACACATTCACATACCCACACCCATTCACACACACATACATACATACATAGGAATCAACATGAAAACACCTAAATATGCATGGCCATCGAACCGTAAGGCAACGGCAAGACTGAACAAGACCTTTCAGTTCCCGAGACACTACATTTTCTTGTTTCCAAAGATGGTAGAGTGAAAAACCTAAATATTTTCAGATTATGTTGATGTCAACGCCACTTTGTTCTACGAATTGTACAGCTATTTCTTCGAGCTTGGCAACATCATCTCACCATACATCCTTCTTGCTTTCTTCCCTCGTTTAAGGAAGGAGTTTTGCCGCCGTTTCAAACCCAACTGTTGTCAATCTGAACATGAATTTTTTGATTATCTACCGTGTATAGTTCAATGCTTTTTAAAGGTATTCCACTCCGAATAGGGGAGCTAGGGGTATAAGACGAAAAGATAGTGGGATAACTTCAGGTATAGCTACTGATTTATAACAGAATGAAAGTCCGGATCGTTCTAATGGTAGCCAGTTGGTATTTCTCAAGCAAAAGGAACAGACTTAATGCTACACAAGGGAGGAGGAGATTATTTNGATCTTTTCCGAGAGAGCTACAAGCATACTTTCAATAGCTGGGTCCTGATTAAGCTCCATAATACTTTTGATAAGTTCCATGGCCGACATGTTATGAAAGTTTTCAGTTTCTGGACTACTAGTTGTATTGGTGCTCATTCTGCTACTCGAGCCAGATATTGGCTGAGAACAGCTCACTGAAACCTTCTTAGAACGCAGCTGTTTCGATGGCATTTTGTTTGATCTTTGATCTACCCAATACTGAGTCTATTGAGTCAATAATTACTAGTAGCAGGCAGCTAACCGACAACCCAAACAATAAAGAGGAGAAAGTAACCCAAAAAAACTCGAACGAAAGCTGTGAAAACGAAATGGAAACCAGAAATGAACAACGCAAAATAAATACTGAGAAAATAAAGAAGAAATGCTTTTAAAATGCGATTACTAGAAAACACTTACGACAGCTGGGAGGAACGCGACCGCCCAAGACGACCTCAGTTGCGAATGTTATTTGGATAGTTTGCAATAGAGCCGGCTACACAAGGGATGAGGAGATTATTTGGATAGTTTGCAATAGAGCCGTTCTCCAGGCATTGCTTTGACTAGATTCTGTTTCCCAGAAACGTGCAATGATTTTGTTCCCACATGGGAGAAACACTTGAAACATTTGAACCGAGGTTCTGAACGGACAGTGGTGGAGGGGTGACTAGCTTATTTCTAAATTAATCTAATCTTTGTGGGATGAGTGGTGTACTTAATTAGGCCATCACCACCAGCTGAACTGATTTTTCAACTAACAAGTGCCTGTGTTGGCCTGAATAGAAACTTCCACTTACGAAACTCGAGGCAGAAGCAAAATTAACAATTCCATGACCGACTTTCAGTTTATCTCGGCATGATCTGACCAAATTCGTCGTAAGTTGAGTTAGCCTCCGAGATTGTTGAAAAGTTTTAACCACTGCTTACGTTTCGGCGGAATCGACTTCTTCGGAGCCTGTAATTCGAAAATATGGGTAGTTGGCTTCTTCTCACCAGATCTTATGTTGATAGTTGATGGCGCATGGATTTCACCTGCTATTAAATTTTTTAACTACTAAGGGGAATGCTGCACGGTTTCAGAAGCTTATTGAGTAGTTCATTTGCGNTATTTACTATCACCAATAAATCTGGTAAGAATTAGCCAGCTGATCTTTAACTGATAAATCAAGGAAGTCTTCTCAACCGGGGCTAATTGATTTGTTAGTAAATACCAATCCGGTTTGCCTTGACTACTACTCGGACAATAGAAAGAGTAACGGAGAGTGAAACCAGCTGGGGGAACGAGTTAACTCTTCGTTGTTGAACTATCATCGTCTTCACGTAGTCAGAAACAACGGTATGCACTGATGCTATCGGTAGCGATCCGTATTGTACTAGCTGCTGTGCAAAGAGAAGAATAGCGGTCACAGAGGGTGATTTGTTTTGCGTGTTCACCAGTAAGCAATCAAATCATCTTGTAGTCAATGGATGCGCAATGTCAACTGGTATTGGAAGTCGCAGTGACGGCGGCGCCGGTTTCCATTAGCTACTACTTAAAGCAGTGGCGCCCCACACTGATCACACCACCCAACATCCAGCAATGGATTTGGACGCCCGCATCAAAGCCTATCGTTTTGTGGCCTATGCCGCCGTCACATTCTCTGTGGTGGCCGTAGTGTCGGTGTTCATCACCCTCCCTATGGTTTACAACTACGTGCACCACGTCAAACGACAGGTCCACAACGAAGTTAACTTCTGCAAGGTACTGCCATCTTACTGAGTTCTCTTCATCTGTACTTTTTTTATTTTGTCTTTCACATTTACATATTTGAAATAATTCACTTCAGGGATCTGCCAAGGACATCTGGACTGAAGTGCACTCAATGAAGGACGTGCCAGCCGCAAACAGAACAGCTCGTCAGGCCTACAACACTGGAGGTGGTTTCGGTGGCGGTGGCGGCGGCGGTGGTGGATCATGCAGTGGTTGCTGCAACCCTGGACCACCAGGACCTGGTGGTACTCCTGGAAGACCCGGAAGACCAGGAAAGCCTGGAGCACCCGGTATTCCAGGTAACCCAGGAAGAGCAGCATCTGCACCTTGCGAGCCTATTACTGCTCCTCCATGCCAACCTTGCCCAGCTGGACCACCTGGACCTCCTGGAGCACCCGGACAGCCCGGTGCACCAGGTTCCGATGGATTCCCCGGCACTCCTGCTGGACCTGGTGGACCTGGAGCTCCAGGACCACCAGGACCACCTGGAGCACCAGGAAATGACGGAGCACCAGGACAGCCCGGAGCACCTGGACAGCCTGGCGCTTCTGAGAACTCAGGACCTGGCGCACCTGGCCCAGCTGGACCACAAGGACCCCCAGGACCTCCTGGACAGGATGGAGCACCAGGATCTGGCGGAGTTGGACCACCAGGACCTAAGGGACCACCTGGACCTGCCGGTAATCCTGGTAGCGATGGAAACCCCGGATCACCTGGAGCACCTGGACAGGCTGGAGGTGCTGGAGAGAGAGGAATCTGCCCGAAATACTGCGCTATTGACGGAGGAGTGTTCTTCGAGGATGGAACACGAAGACGCTAAACACCTTCATCTGTTGCAGTGCATACTGTGCTTAGTGAAAATTCTTCTCAGATACACATCTGAAATAAAGTAGATTTTCCAATGTCTGTTTCTGTTTGCAACGCATACATGAGAAAAAGCAAAAAAAAAAGAATTGAAAAGTTGAACAACGAAAAAATACATTCAGCAAGGCATAGAGTGTTTGGCGAACACCGAAATGCTAATTGCCAACCTTTCCTTAACGAACAGTCCAAGCTAAGCCTTAGAGACCCCAAAGGTAGTAGTTGCCTCACTTCTATCCTGAACGCTGGTACCTTTCGATGAAACAAATGCACCTTAGACCAGTCGTTAAACAGTCGTTAACCCACTTCCAGCTTCCAGCTGACGGTAGGGCTTTATCACAACTCTTCAGAGTCGCTACACCTTCATAAAGGCTCATAACTGTTCTCCTAGGCTTTATTCAGCCTCATCGAGACTTTATGCTTTCACATTAGCACTACGCGTTTTTATGGTTGCAGATAGTAGACCTCAACCTTCAGTGATCAAGAGAATCAGGCCCGACTTGGGTGAGGGGAACACAAAGCGTTCTACTCAAAAAGCGCTATTCCACCTCTTCTAGCACCATCCCATCTTAACCAATAAGGATAAGGTTCAACGTATGAAATGTCCTTGTGTTTCTTCAGCAGAAAATGAGCACGACTTTCGTATTCCACTGCTGTATTTGCTTCCCGGCGGGGTGGCAAGTGGCTCACTCTCAAGCTCGCATAGTTCGGAAATCGAAATTTGATTCAATCTTCTAAGGCCAACTAAGCTTTCCATCTGTCCGAAGTCGGTTGATAGTTTCCGTAATTGTTCTGGGATAATTGAACCACAGCTCAATCGAGCCTTCCATTCTGCCGGGGTCACTTGATACGTTCAGGATTTGTCTGCCAGATTTAAAGAACTGGCTTGTACACTTCCTGCTACCGCAACTCATTGCATGGGCCACTACTATACTGGATGGGGATCGAATGCGGGAGATATTCCAGTAACAAGTTGGGTCAACGTCAAAAATCTCTATAAAGGGCAAGAGCTCTCGTGTAGGAAAGTCATTTACAGCTAAGCAAAAAAATAAACGAACTGGAGGGCTGTTGAGAATCCGGAACAAAGTTCTTTGTCGAAACCGAAACAACGCAGTCACTGAAGTAGATGAGGACAAAAAGACTTCTGTTTAGTGACGATTCTGTTTCAGGAGAGAATCATTATGATTTCAAACTTCTCGGAAGCCTTTTGATCATTTTTGCAGATTCCCCAAATCCTAATTGATCGCAATCTCAGTTTGTCTTCAACAGAGGAATATCTCAAATACCTTACTTAATAACAACCATCGGTCTGAAAAATAACATCTTCAAGGGTCATTGCAATGCAATTACCTCGCTGTGTATGTACCTAAGAAGTTCATATGAACCCAATTAGTGATGAAAGTTATGAAGGATCAATATTTTTTGGTGCCTGACAGTTTTTTCTTTTTAAAAAGTTTCCTCCTATTTGACGATTCTAGATGATCGTGTTCCTCAAAAGCTTAAAGAAATTGTGTTGAGTACCGGCAATTTCAGTAACGATTCTCTATCCAACCAATTGCAGATCAGTTGACAGGGACCTGAGAAAAATATTTTCTTCTCAACTGATGGTTTTGATTGTTTTCAAGGTGTACATGGAGATACTGTTAGTGCTGGTGATATTGAGAAATCCATTATCCGCCAAGAACTAGTAATCTCCCAAAACCGGCTTGGTCAGCGCCCACACCCAAAAGTGGCCGTGTTATGACGGCCTGTGAAGGCTGCGCCATTCACAATGAAGCGTTGGGACATCGACGAACAGTACGCCAATGTGGGAGACTGTTGAAGGCACACAGTCTCGTACAGCCCATTCTCTAATACTATTTAGAAGCCTTAAATTTTTCAAAATCCGCCGCTTTTCGCGCCTTCGTTGCCATTTTTGCAGGGTTGTGCATCGCAACTTCCATTATTTCATTTGAACTAGGTACCTCAGAATTGTCGTGAATTGTGTCTTCAAGGAAAAAGTTTACAGAGCAAGGGTGAGGCTCACTATGATATGGGTTCGAACAGATAAAGCAACAAGATCGCCCGGTAAAAGATGCAGTAGAATTCCAGGCTCAACGAAAGCGAGCTCGAGGATCCTCAAAAAAATAAGCTGATGGATCGTGATCAAGATGAACTAGGAAGAAGCCAAGATGACGACAGAAGATGCCATAGCAAATACAAGTGAATGGACTGATTGTGAGGAGTGGTTAGCGCAGAGGACCGTGCAAGTCACCCTGATAAAATGCCCTTGTGTTTCCTTCAAAAGAAGCATGATTCACTTCTAATTTTACTGGAGTACTCAGAGTACCCGAGGGATTGGCATAGTGACAAATGGAGCACAATCAACCAGGTATAGATTTGAGATCGAATTTCGACTCATTCTGCTAAGACCACCTTAGCTTTCCATCTCTCTGGAGTCGGTTTATAGTTTCCGTACTTGTCTGGAATAATTAAAGCACAATTCGATTCAGCCTTCTATCTGCAAGGGAGCGAGATTTACGCAATGTAGAAGAAGTAGAAGAAGAAGATTAGGATCGATCATAAGTTCAGTTTGGAGTAGCTTCAATTCATACACAATCGCAATTGTATTCTTTATTTTTTTTTAGAAATAAGTTGCACATATCAGAAAGAAACATCTAAAGTACTTTGCTCAATAACAGCCATAATTCAAACAGACAAA